GTAGGCAGACTCAGGCTGGAGATGGAGGGGCATCCTATCTCTCAGCCTTAAGACTCCTCTACCCATCTTGCCCCACTGCCCTGGCAAAGGTGAGGTGTATCAGTACCTGCAGCCAGCGCCACCTTCTGCCACTGCTGAACTCACTCACCCAGCAAAGGCCCCTAGCTCTGTGCCCACCACCCAACCCACTCAGCCACACTCACCCCACAGCAGCCTCTGAAGAGTCCCATGGGCCCTACCTGCAGCCAAGGAGCTCTGTCCCTGGGTACAACATGCACGGCATCAAGGTCCTAGCCTGTGGGGCAGGAGCCCCTCTCATTATTCAACCACATCCATAAATAGCCCTTTGTAACTTAAAGTCCCAAAGCCAGGGCGGCAGAAGAGAAACATCAGAATTCTTCGGGAAACTTGTAAACAATGTCCAACCCCAGGCCTACAAAGTAAACTTTCCCGAAGACCCCTCAAATAGGCTTATGGAAAGTGCAGCCAATCACATGCTAGAGAATTACCTGACTGCCGCATGGTCAGATTCCTGGGCTGATGAGCTGCCCTCATACCCTTAAGGCCAACACATAGATCCAGCCCAGAAGACCCAGGGCCATGGTGGGCAATCCTGACCTTAGCCTGGCACACAGCAAGCTGCTCCATCCTGGTACCCTTGTGCCCTTAGGAGACAATGAAAGGTGCATCAAGGAGACTTCCAGCCTCAATCCAGACAAGAGAGTAACAGCCCAACAGCATGCTCCTTGGCGCTTCCGTCTTCACTCCTCCCACTCACTGCCCCCAAAGGGGCACCCAGGCCCCTGGCACAATGGGACATGGAAATATGGCTCCATTACTCAAAACCCCTCCTTCCTGGTCAAGGCTTGCCTGGCCCCAGCAGCAGCTTCCTGTAGCTGGCTTCGCTGCTGGCATCCGCCCCTTTTCACAGAACGGAACAGAAGCATGAGAGAGCTGCTGTCCTGCCTAGGAAATGCCATGGGCGGTCTTCCAAGTCCAAGCCAAAAAGTTTCCTGGGTTCCTCCCTGCTGGGTTATGTAGCTGCGACACCAGAACACAAGTGGCCACAAGGCTGGTCAGCATCCACACAAACCAGTGATCTCAAAACAGGAGTGAAATCACAACTTAAGTTTTAAAACCCGTACGTATGAGCAAGTGAGTATGGTGGAAATGGCAGAGACTTGAGTACTTGTCCCAGCTCTGTCAGCCTAAGCTGTACAAGAGCCCTGCAGGTCCAGACTTCTCCCTGGATCTCAGTTTCCCCACCTGGACTTAAAAGTACCTTCAAATCTGCCCTCTTTATCTATGGGAAAGAATCCCTTGACCCAGACCCACTCTGAAGTCCTGGGGCTGCCCAGCCACATGATTTAGGAAGTGGCTGGTGGCAGCTGTACTCCATCAGGCACTCGGCCACCAGTCTCCCATTACATCACCACCTCCCGCAGTAGAATGCCAAGTTACCAAACAGCACAGCTGTCCATCTCCCCAGACTCTGCAAGTAGAGAGCCTATGAGCACCACTAACCCACTGCTGGGTACGGAGGCCACCAGTACAGAGCTCCAGCCCACCGTCAGCCTTGCCCCCAGCATGACATCAACCCTCCAGCTGGGGCTCAGCAGAGGGTGACACATGCCCCAAAAGTGTCAAGGGGGGCCTCAAAGAGCTTCTTCCCAGAAATGAGCCAGCTGGCCAACAGTCTCTCACAAACCCTCATGAGTCCTAGATGTCCTTGAACATGCTAGGTACTACATGGCCTCGCCTCCAGGGATTTCTCTCTCCCCTTAGGGTGAAGAATGCTGAAAGTACCGTGGACTGCTAAAAGAACTAACAGATCTGTCCTGGAGGAAGTGCAGCAGAATGCTCCTTGGAAGCAAGAATGGCCAGACTTCGTCTCACCTATTTTGGTCATGTTGTAAGAAGGGACCATTCCCTGGAGAAGGATGTCATGCTTGGTAGGGTGGAGGGTTGACAAAAGAGGGGGAGGCCTTCAAGGAGATGGATTGATACGGTGGCTGCGATGATGGGCTCAAGTATAGCAGGGATTGTGGGGCTGGCACGGGATCGGGCAGTGTTTCGTTCTGCTGTGCATGGGGTTGCTATGAGTCAGAAACGACTCAACGGCACTTAACAACAACAACAACAACTTAGGGCGGAATGCAGCAGCCCCTGCTCTTGGCCAAGAACCTCCACAAGGACTAAACATTCAGCATTCAGCCCAGCAATGGCCTCTTTATTTTAACCAACTGACCAAATTAAGGCTGCTTGGCTGCACTACCCATCCTCAGGAAGCCAATATTGGCTGACTCTGAATTTCTCTAAGCCCAGGGGCAGAGTCAGGCCCAACAAAGGAGCCACAGCAAATCCTGGCAAACCTCAGGGCCAAGGTTGCCAGCTTGGGGCCACCAAGGGTGGGCTGGGCATTGTTTGGGGGTAAATAATGCTCTCTCAGCTAGACCTGCCTCACACACGCTCGTACACTCGCACCCCAACACCAGCCCAAAGACCAGACTCTTCACTCATGACAGTGCTTCCATGCCATTGGTAAATTCCCAGAAGAATGACCTCTCAATGCAATGACCCCATTCTGCAGAGAAGCAAGGAAAACAGGCCAGCCCTACAAACGTCAGACACCTCTCCACTGAGGCCTGCTGTGGGAACCAACACCAAGCTGACTACGAGTCAGGGGTGCATGGAGGTCTCCCCCTGAGTCTTGAAGCCAGGAGGAGGGCAAGGAGAGAACCAGCATTCTCTAGAAAAGAGGCAAGGGGTTATGGCAAGTGCAGGGGTGGGGCAGAGTCAGAGCGGCCCTAGCTGGGCTCCCACCTTCTTGAATCAGCCCGCAGAACCCTCAGCGAGCCGGCGCAGGGCAGCATAGCCTGCCAGGCCCAGGGGGGCTCCCACTTCTGGCACTGGTGCCTATACTACTCCACAGTAGAGCTGGGTGACATGGGTATCCCAGAAGGAAGAACCCCGAAGACCTGTGGCAAATCAAATATCTGTATGCCGCAGTAACTCTGGAGCAGGGACAGACAAAAATATGTGCCTTGCACTCTGGCTCCTGTCCTCTCTGAGCTGCACCTTGTGGGGCAGAGGCAGGGCCAGCCTCTTCACCACACCCCTCAAGCACCTTGTCCCCTCAGCCCTGTCTACCTCCCCAGGGAGTTGCTTACTCCCTAAGCTGGAGCCCTGCCCAGGGCCCAGCACAATGGGGTGGAAAGCGAAGGGGGAGATGGTAAGACCAACAGAAGTGAAGTCATTGCTCTTTTCTCTTTTTTGCTCTGGTACTGTGAGCTTGGCACCTTGAAGAAACGACCCAACAATTCCATAGAGCCACTTCCTGGTCTCCACGCCCCAAACCACAAACTGTCCCTCTGCCGTGTTTCCACGCTTCCAGGCTCAACAGCGGACAAGCAGCTGTGCAAGGAGATGCCCCAGGAGCTCCATCTCACTCCCCGGGTTGTTCTTTATGTGTCTGATGCAGTGCTAGGACACAGCGAGGAGCATCTTAGAGAGCACATTCAAGTGTGCACAGAGCAAGGGGGGGGGGGCGTGTTTGAAGAACCCTCACAAAGAAACATTTTTGGATGATCACTGATGCACATCTGTGTGCATCTTGCTTTTGTGTATTGCTTTTTTACTTTGGGAGGGAGAAGAGAGGTAACAGGATTCACAGGGTTTTCAAAAGCCCTCTTGGTAACTAGATCCGAGAGGGGTTACATGTGAGACTAAATAATTGACTTGCCAAGGAGCTAACAAGGGTGGCTCCCTGGCAAGGGGATTACATGCTTGTGACAGGACCAGCTGTCCCTGGCCCAGCTGTATATTACGTCTGGCTTCACGGCCCACCCAGTGTAAACAGGCCCATTGGCTCCACACACCAGATGGGTCTCTGACAGGGAAGACCAGGGGCCACCATAAGGCTGAAGGTAGCATGAGGAAGAAGTTCCTGGCCCCCAACTGTGGCCAAATGGCCCCCGTGTGCACTAACTCAAATGGCAGGGGGATCCAGAATGACAGCTCAGAGAACCCTGGGCTGGGCAACTTCCTCCGCACCCCCCCCCCCAGGCTACATGAGCACTCAGGCCTTACTAACCCTTCAGGACCTGTGCCCACTCTCCACCCTGCCTCCCTCTTGCTCACAGGTAGGGAAAGGGATGAACTTACATCTCTGGACTCAGGCCCCCTGCCCCACTTGGGGATGGTGACAACATCCTACCAGGAGACATCCTGATGACTGTTATGCTCAGCAGAAGACAATTCAGCCACACTTCCTGAGAGTGTGCGTGAGAGGCCCATGCCCAGGCCAGCAGCTGGGCAAAGCCCTAAGTAGCCCACTCAGGTCCAGGAACCTGTGTAGCCTGACCGTTGCCCATCCAGAGAGTCGCAGGCCCCCTCCCGGGCTTTGGTGATGGCTCCCAGAGAAAGAAAACCTTTGCTCCATTGATTCAATTCCAAAAATTCCCCAAACAACTAACATGCAGGAGATTCTACTCTGTCACACCAGCCTTTACCAAACACTTGTCACTGTCTTTGTCTCCAAAGGCATCAATGTCTGCCTGTCCCAGAGCCCTCAGAAGACCCCAGAGGTGACTCAGGGCATGGACTTCAGAACTCCATTCAACTAAGGAACTACAGGATTCCTCAGGCCATTAAGGGACAGATCCATTCAGACTCCCTTGAGAGGAAGTTTGCCCACCATCACCAGATGCCACCCCCAACCCACCTCTACCTTTTTAACTTCCATCCTCCCTTCTCAGCAGTATGGGTACCAGGCCTCGCATGTCTGGCCAAGGTCACAGGAAAAGGCCTCTGTCCTCCCATCTTCCTGTGGCCTTATGGGACAAATCCATTTCCACATCTCACTCCCATACCCAGGCTATGAGGACACTACAGCAGCTGTGCCCAATGGGCTCTAAGTCAAGGCCACATGAGGTCCTCAGGCCTTGAGAGGCACCTCCACCCCACTCTGTGCTGTGCAGTGCCAGGCTGATGCCCCTTACCTGGTGCCCGTGGAGCGTGTAGAGCAGCCGGCCTTCCATCAGGTCCAGGATCTTCAGGGTAGAGTCACTGGAGGCCGTAACCAGGTAGTTTCCCGAGGGGTGGAAAGAGAGGGCGTTCACCGCTGCACTGTGTACTGGGGGAAGGACATCTGTCAGGCTCTGGCTGGAGGCCCAGGGAGCATAGCCGAAGCCTGCAGATGAGCAGTCAGGGCCAAGAGGGGCTAGGCCAGGGTGGTCTTTGCTCAGAGGAGCTTGGGAGGAGCCCCACAAGGATTTCTCAGGAAAGCAGCATGTAGAGAAGACAAGTGAAGATCCCTCCAGAGCCAAAGGCAGGCAGTGGGGGATGGAGGGCAGGTAGAGGCAAGTGAGGCAAGGCTAGAGAAAGCAAATGATTCCTCTACCCTCTCCCATTACACCAAGCAGTCATGCTGGAGCAGAAAGAGTGCTCAAATACAATATACATTTAATACAGCACATTTAAAATAACTTACTGCTATTTTAGAAAAACCAAATGTAACATTAAAAAAAAAAAAAAAGAAACAGTTGCTATGGTGGTGATTCTAACTCATAGTGACCCCATGTATGTCAGAGTAGGGCTGTGCTCCATAGAGTTCAATAGCTGATCTTTTGGAAATAGATTGCCAGGCCTTTCTTCTGTGGCACCTCCAGGTGGACTTGAACCATCAACACTCAGTTAGAAGCAAAGTGCTTAACCATTTAACTACAAATGTAACATGTTGTGCTTGTTATTAGGTGCCAACGAGTCAATTCAGACTCATAGCATCTCTCTAGAACACACTAGAATTGCCCTATATGGTTTCCTAGGCTGTAATCTTTATAGAAGTAGATTGCCAGTTCTTTCCTCTTGCAGAATCAATGGTGGGTTCAAACCACTGACTTTTCAATTAGCCACCAAGTGCTTAAGCATTGCACAACCAGGGCTCTTTAAATAGTAACATGTTATTGTTATTTGCCACCAAGTCAAATCTGACTCATAGTGACCCCAGGTAACAGTTTAGAACAGCCTCACAGGATTTACTAGGCTGTCATCTTTACAGGAGCAGATCACCAAGTCTTTCTCTTGCAGAGCCACTGGTTGGATGTAAATCACCAACTTTAGGTTAGCAGCCAAGCACTTAACCAACGAACTACCAGGGATACTTAAGTGTAGCATACCTGTTGCCACTGAGTCAATTCCAACTCAAAGCGACCTGGTATTACAGAGAACTGCCCTGTAGGATTTCCTAGGTTGTAATCTTTATAGACAGCCACATCTTCCTTGGAGCAGCTGGTGGGTTTTGGTTACCAGGCATGTGCTTAGTCACCGTGCCACTGGGGCTCCTTGGAATGCCAGTACAATACCAGTGTCCTCTAGGAGAGGATATGTGCAGGGCAGTTGAGTAAATGACAAGACATGCTCAAAAGCCAGTGGGACCTGCGGTGAAATCCCAGCCTTCTCACTGGCCCACGTTATGACCTTGAGCAAGCACCCTGACCACACTGACTGACCTCAGTTTCTCCATCTGTACCACAGCACCTACATCTTAGGGGTGCTGTAGGGATGCTGCTGTCAATTTAACCCTGTGAGACTTTTGCACAGAGAGCCCTCAGACCCCAGAGCCAGCATGGATATCCCTCTCTTCTGACTCCCAGCATCTAACTCCAGGCCCTACCGTTTTACTCACTCAACAGTTCAACCTTGTTCATGATTCTCCTTATACCACCGCCACCCCAAGCCCAAGACCCACCATCTCTCCTGTTGTCCCTCACTCTTCCAGATCTGGCCATGCTGGCCCTATAAACCCCTCAAGCTGTGGGACCTTTCTATCCTTTGCTCCTCATAGGCCTAGGAGACTCTCGCCCCTTCTCTTTCCCCAACCTCAAAGTCACCTCTTCCAGGAAGCCTCCCATGGCCTACCCCACGAGGCTACTCCTTCATTTGTCCTCCTGCAGCACCATGAGGCAACTACCAGTGCACTCTTTAGAGCAGTGGTTTTACATCTGTGTGGCTCTGATTCACATCTGGCTCCTCCATGAGACCACAGCTCCATCAGGCAGGGGGCATGCAGGGTCTGTCCCTGGCTCCTGGCTCAGTGGGACTCAGAAAATGGTTGAACAGTTGGTGCTCAAGCTGGGTGCCCAGCAGCCTCAGCCAGTCATGCAGCCCTCCCTTGAGGCCAAGGTACATTCTAGGTGGAGCTGGCAGAGCTGGCAGAAGTAGGCAGGATGAAGTAACACCATAGCTAATAATGAAGCCAGCAGCATCACAGCCTTAGACAGCTGCAGAGAACAACCCCACAGCCTTCACACCCCTTACTATAGGCCTGGGGAGGGAGACTAGTAGGGCTGAGATAGCTGTGACCCTGCTGTGTCAGAGTTATCACAAACAAAGGCAAATGCTAAAACCACTCCTCATCCTGGCACCATGAGCTGCAGGAATTGCTACTGGACCAGGAACCACACCAGCCTTGGATGGTCCTCAATGCAGTCCACAGGGGCACACAGAGCCACTCAGATGCCAGTCCAGCTGATGTGCTGTACTGGGGACTGTGGATGCATGTTCCCAAGCACACTTTAGGGAGACAGCCAGGGGCTTACATAACCTGATATTTATATCTGATCTCACTCCAAGTGCCAGCTACTCCAGGAGGTGGTCTGGAGAGGGGCCTGGGGGACAAGTACTGAGTCCCCCTGTCCTACACACTCACCACACTCAAGCCATAGAGCTTGAGTATTTACCCATACTCAAGGCATGCTGAACAGGGGAAGAAAGCTCCAGCCAACCACAGCAAAGATCTAACAGGTACCATAGATGGAAGTAGGAAGATGGGGCAATCTACCTCCGTAGTGATACGGCCTCGGAAACCCAAGGAGGGGTCGCTATGAGTCGGGTCAGACTCGATGGCACATAACAACAAAGATGGAAGTGAAAGACTATTAGAAACACAGAGAATGGCCCTCACTCCTCATGTGTAGAGGTAAAGGGAAGCCCCAGACAGAGAACAGGAATGGCCTCTGGGGAAGTAGGCATGGGGCACTACTAATTTTTATTCCACATGCTTCAAGAATATTTAGTAAAATATGGCAAAAACCACCTGAGTACAGCCACATATGATTACTACAACTGGTTGACTAATTAAAAATGACATCTCCCCCCCCCCCCCAAAGAGTGTATCTTGCTTCAGGAGGCAGGAGGTCAGGTCTAGCCCACCTGGCCTTGCAGGCTCATACCTCTGGTGAGCCAGCTGGTCCTTGAGTGCCAGAGACACACTGGTGCCCAAGGAGGAGGACAGGCCCCATGCTACAAAGGGCTCAGCCTATTTGCCAGGGTGGCTCTTGTGACACACATTACCAGTGACATGGCCTCTTTGGGTCTCTGAAGGGCTCTGGATTCAAACAATGAAAGTGCTCTTCAAACAATGAAGGGACACCCAAAATATTTTCTCTTTCCTAACGCCCACTTTAGGAACAGGGAGGAAATAGCCAGTGAGCCACCAGCTCAGGTGAGACAATGTACTGCCTCCAGATGAACGGTTTCTTTCCAGCTCAAAACTCCAAGGAAAAGTTGTGGGCCTTGCAGCCTGAACAGCTGCCTAAAAACCCTCCATGTCTGATGAGGGGGTGAGGTAAGAGTCCATGCGTGCACTAAGGACACCAAGTTCTGACTTGGCTTCTGGAGAGGGCCAAGCCAAGCCCTACAGACAGCCAGCCAAGGAAACCACTTCTCCTAGGAAGCTGGGGCAAGAAAATGCCAGGAGTTATCACAGGGTAAGGAAGCAGCGTGGGATATGGCCATAATGCCAGACTCGGAGGCCTTGGGCTGATAACCCAAGTTCACAGCTTCCCAGCTACGTGGCCATGGGCAAGGTTAACACTGCCCACCTGTATGTGTTGGAGGGAGAGCCCTGCCTGGCTGACCACCAGCCTGTCACCGGATAATGGGCCAGTCTATGCCTATGTAGCGCAAAGCACACGATGGTTCCGGGGTGGGGGCTGTTCAAATGTCTGAACAGTCCTAACGTGGGCTTGGAGCATATGGAGCTTCACCCACCCCCACAGGGGTTGGTACTCCCAGGGCTCCACCAGCACTGCCGGCGCCTGGTAGAATTAGGAAATCAGAACTGCTTCCCGCAGTGACAGGCCAGAGCCAAGAAACTCCTTGTCTGAGAGTGAATGGCACCAAAAAGCCCCCAGGGGTGACACAGACATCGCTGTATCCTTAAACTCTTTCCCTTGGGTTTCCTAGAGATCAGAGACCACAGACACCTCAGGCATCTGCTGCCAGACAGCTGAGAGCCCTTCCTGGCCTCCAAACAGACTTTCACTGCACCTGTAGGGTAGGGGGAAGCTGCTGCTAATGGGCTGGGGGAGCCTCACAGGGAAAGGGCTTCAGCCACGGAGCTCTCTGAAGAAGCGCCTACACCTGACTGGCCCATCTAGGTCCCTCCATCAGCAGAGAAGGTACACCCCGCCCCCATGCCAGCTCAGGTCAACCTGGCTGGGGGATCCGTTTGCTGCCCTGTGAATACCCTTTACACACCATGCATTGGGCAGAGGGCTGCGGAGGGGGCACCTAGCTATGTTGACAGGATACTCTAAGCTCCTCTAAGCCTCTGATCTAGACTAGGAATGAGACGCTGCAGCTTGCCATGTGGCTCCATCTGTCACCAGAGGGAAGAACAGCAGCAAAGCAGACTGAACCCTCAGTAGAGCCATCAGCTGCTTGCACCTGGGGGGGCCACTCAGCACACAACCCTGGTGCTCATCCCCCGCCACCACAACCTCCTCAGCACTGCCAGCCACTGAGTGCCTGCCCCCACCCACCACTGAGCCTACTCCTGACAGAACCCCAAGGACCTCTTCCCAGCACCCACCACTCTCCTCAACTGCTCTGCATCACCCACTCACCTGACCACCCACTTCGTGACACTGTTTTCTTTCATTCCCCTGGCTCTGTCCCTCCCAGTGCCCCACTGATGGGAGGTAGGGCAGACCTAGTGGCCCCTCAATTTCAGGACCCGAAGATGTAGCCTCCATCCAGCTAGATCCAATGTCAGCATCTGCCTCTATTCAAGCTCCCCAACCCACGCCACCAGCCTGACCCCTCCCCCATTGTCACATCTAGCCCTCAACTGGATATAACGTATTGACAGCCTACTACCAGTCACCTAGGCACACCAGCCCCCTGCCCAAGCCAGTGATCTGAACTACCTTCCTCTCAGATGCCTCTCATCCTTTTGTTCCTCAAGTGACAGGGCCAATTACCATATCACCAGCCAGCCATGTCCTTAGGACCCAGGCCAGACCAAGGAATTCAAAGCCCTCCCCAAAGGGTACCAGCTGCTGCACCCTCCTTACACCAGGCCCAGGGTCAGCAGAGATCCTCTCCTCCCAATGCCACAACAGTCAAGACCCATGTGGAGTGAATCAAATGCCCAGCTCTGTATTACAATCCTTATGTGGATTCTCCCACCAGGTCTGTGCAAACCTGATGAGGAAAGCACTATTATTGGACCTTTTACAGACAGAGAACAGAGTCTGTGCTGATGTCCTTCCCTTCTGCCCTCTCCCTGTCCAAGCCCCACCCTAGCCATTCCTGCCCAGCACTCCTCCCCACCTGTCCCACCCCCTAGCCCTTAACTCAGGCCTGGCCAAAGGCAGAAGATAGGCTTCTGAGCCTGCAGAAGGGAAGGGAGAGGTGTGGTCTCCACGTGGAGGACAGACCTGGTTGTTGCCCTGTCAGAAGCCTTTCTGAGAGAAAGAGCCTGAGTGACAAACCCCAGGGCCCTATTGTGTGGAGGAAAGAGCCCTCTTGTGGCTGGCTCCTGCCACCTGGTGGTAGTGTTGGGTACTGCAAGCCTTGACCATGCAGGCTGGCTTCCCCAGGAGACCAGAGTCCTGGATACCAGGAATGAGATCTTTAGCATCATCTGTGCTATTGTCATCGTCACTAACATTGTACCTAGTTCCTGTTCTGTGCAAATCTCTTGATATGGACCAACTCAGTAATCCTCCTAACACCACCCTGTGAGACAACAACTATCACTGTCTCAGAGGGCCCAGAGGAGTCAAGTGACTTACCCCAGGTCACACAGCTAGGAATGCCAGAGCTGGCTACAGAACCCATCCTCCACCACATGCTCTTTAAGATCAAGTTCTTTTCTGTCTTCCTGGGAGGTCTGCTCGCTCTTCTACTGCCATTTGAGCATCTGAGAACCAGCCAGGAAAAGGCTTGAGGGGGAAGGGGGCAGGAGGAGTTCAACTCAAGCCCCACACCTTTTTCCAGTCACGTTCTTCCTGTTTTCACACCTAAGTTTTGAAAGTGAGCCCACAGACTTATAAATGGGTCCCAAACCAACCACCACAGTTCACACAACTCCAGTTCTGACTCCTCCTGGTCTCAGCCCTGAGCCCAGTCTGCCCACCCCTGTTTTGCCTACTTCACGACTTCCAATTCCTCCTGTGGTCCCTTACCAGCTTCCCTCCCCAAGCCTCATCCCCGGCACTGAGGGCCTCATCACCCTGTCCAGCCATACTCATGCAGACCAGTTCTACACCCACAATACCCTTAGCTACCTTACCGTCATCATATTCAACCCAACCTGGAGCCTGACCCCAGACCATGTGCATTGCCCTGCCTTCCGAAGGCGACAAATGAATTGAGGGAAGAGCCCTGGGTCTGGCTCTAGAGTCTGGTCTCTAGCTAGGTCCACTCTCCCTCAATGGTTCATAGATCCACATCTGTGGAAAACACCATGGGACCAGAGGTGGCCAAGGTCCCACCAATGCTGACCTCTACTAATAGCCCTGGCCCCTTCACCACAGATCATCCTGGGGGGATAAAGCCTCCATTACAGGGGGAGGTGAGTGGCGTGAGTCCACAGAACCTCAAGGGAAGCCCTGGCCAGATATCCACTGAGGCTCCCTGTCTGGCCCTGCAGTGTGCATGAGGCTCTGCTGTCTCATGGGTGGGCACCAAGGGGCCTGGCTGTTATTGTTGTTATGTGCCATCAAGTCAGACCCGACTCATAGCGACCGCTCCTTGGGTTTCCGAGGCAGTATCACTACAGAAATAGATGCCCCATGTTCCTTCCGAGGAGTGGCTGGTGAGCTTGAACCGTCAGCCTTCTGGTTAGCAGTCAAGTGCCTTAGGCACTATGCTACCAGAGCTTCAAGGGGCCTGGCAGAAGCCAGGAAGCACCATGCTTATTTTGTGACCAAGGTTCCAAACCAGGAGAGCAGTGCCACAGACTACCCACCCCTGGAGATCCCAACAGGTCTAGACTCTACCCACCCACCAAGGCCATCTTCACACAGCACAGGCTGTTTAAGCACCATAGCAATGAACTAGACCCCTGGCACCAGCATGGCCCCATAGTGAGAAGCCACTGGACACTCACACTGATAATGCTGCAGCAGCCGATGAGTCCGCACATCCCATACCTTCACAGTGTTGTCCATGCCGGCAGCAGCAATGCACGTGCCACTCGGGTGGAAGTCCACATAAGTGACAAAGCTGGAAGACAGGGCAGCCACATGCTATAGGTCTTCCCTGGCCCAAAACAGATGTGAAGATGTCCAACATATTCCCATCCTGTACATCTGCTCACACTGCTCCTTCATCCCAGAACACTAGCTCTCCCGTCATGCTTCTTTACTAGGTGGCCAAGGGGGAGCAAGGAGACACTGTAATTTGAGGTGGACTCATCAAAGACAAGTCCCAGTGACACTTTTTAAACTATAAGTGGAGAACGCTGCCTTCAGTCCCAAAGGTCAGTTGGGTGGCTCTGGGTTTTCAGTAACAGAGCCTTTTGCTTGAGTGTCCTATGGGGAGAAGAGGGTGTGTGGATGACTCACCCGCCATGCTCACAGTACGAGTAGACACACTCCCGGCTGGTCTTGTCCCACAGCTTGACAGTCTTGTCATCACTAGCGGACACAATGAGCCGCCCATCGGGGGAGAATCTGCACCAGGCAGAGCACCAGTCAAGCCACTGGTCAGCAGACAGGACAGGCACCACACATCATGTTCCATGCTGTACCCTCCCCTGCAATGCCCACAGCCTGACCTAGCAACTGCCCAGGTCACATATCCTTCTCTGACCCCAAGTGATCCCAGGCAAGTGGCTTCCCCACTGTATCTGTGAGGGGGTAAGAATGGGGTCCGTTACAGAGCAGGGTTGGTACAGAGAACAATACTGCATGAAAGCCCAGCACTACACAGGGCAACATGGGGCTAGTGCTGACCACCAGCATCGTTAACACTATGGTGACTGCAATCCCACCATCAGCATCAGTTATCCTGTACCCAGGTCCTCTCAAGTCTACATTTGACTATGCATCTGGATCAACAAAACAGAACCCTCTGACAAAAAGGCAGGGAGGTCCTAAGGACCCACAACCAAAGGCCCAATGTGGCCCTGACACCCCCAATTTGTTGGCCTGGCCTCCTGTTCTCAGGAAACTGATTACAAGATCCCTCTAGAACAACCAGGGACCTCCCTAAAGGAAAGAGCGCTCCTAGTGGGATACCACTCGTCTGTCAGTTTGTCATACTGTTGTGGCTTGTGTGTTACTGTGAGGCTGGAGGCTATGCTACCAGTATTTCAAATACCAGCAGGATCACCTATGACGGACAGGTTTCAGCAGAGCTTCCAGACTAAGACAGACTGGGAAGAAGGAAGGGGCCATCCACTTCTCAAAGAATTGGCCAGTGAAAACCTTATGAATAGCAGTGAAACACAGTCTGATATATTACTGGAAAACTTTATGAATAGCCCTGAAACACTGTCTGATATAGTGCCAGAAGATGAGCCCTGGAGGTCCGAAGGCACTCAAAATACGACTAGGGAAGAGCTGCTTCCTCAGAGTAGAGTGGACCTTAATGATGTAGATGAAGTAAAGCGTTCAGGACCTCCATTTGCTGATGTGGCATGACTCAAAATGGGAATAACATCTGCAAACATCCATTAAAAATCAGAACATGGAATGTACAAAGTATGAATCTAGGAAAACCAAAAGTTGTCAAAAATGAAATGGAATGCATAAAGATTGATATCATAGGCATTAGTGAGCTGAAATGGACTGGTTTTGGTCATTTTGAATAAGACAACCATATGATCTACTATGCCAGGAATGACGAATTGAATAGGAATGGCATGGCATTCATTGTCACAAGGAATGTTTCAAGATCTATCCTGAAGTACAATCCTGTCAGTGTGATAGGATAATATTTATATGCCTATAACAAAGACCAGTTAATACTACTATTATTCAAATTTACGCACCAACCAACAAAGCCAAAAATGAGGAAATTGAAGGTTTTTACCAACTTCTGCAGTCTGAAATTAACCGAACATGCAATCAAGATGTGTTGATTATCATTGATGATCGGAATGCAAAAGTTGGAAACAAGAATCACTGGTAGTTGGAAAATACGGTCTTGGTGATAGAAATAATGCCGGAGATCACATGATAGAATTTTGTAAGACCAATGACTTATTCATCGCAAATATCTTTTCACAACAACATAAATGGCAGCTATACAGGTGGACTTTACCAAATGGAGTACACAGGAATCTTATCAACTACATCTGTGGAAATAGGCAATGGAGAAGCTCAATATCTTTAGCCAAAACAAGGCCAGGAGCTGACTGCGGAACAGACCATCAACTGCTAATATGCACATTCAAGATGAAGTTGAAGACAATTAAAACAAGTTTATGGGAACCAAAATACGACCTTGATCATGTCCCTCCTAAATTTAGAGACCACCTAAAGAATAGATTAGGAGCTCTGGTGGTGTAGTACCTAAGGCATTTGACTGATAACCAGAAGACTGGTGGTTCAAACCCATTAACCACTCCTCAGAAGGAAGACTGGGCAATCTACTTCTGGAGAGATACCACCTCAGAAACCCAAGGAGGGGTCACTATGAGTTGGAACTGACTCGATGGCAGTCAGTTTTTTTTTTTTTTTTTTGGAAGAACAGATTTGATGCACTGAACACCAATGACCAAAAAGAAGAGGAACTGTGGGATGACATTAAGAATATCATCCATGAAGAAAGCAAAAGGTTGTTAAAAAGACAGGAAAGGATGAAAAGACCAAAATGGATGTCAGAAGAGACTCTGAAACTTGCCTTTGAAGGAAGAGCAGTTAAAGCAAATGGAAGAAATGACAAGATAAAAGAGCTGAACAGATGATTTCAAAGAGCATCTTGAGAAGACAAAGCCAATAATTTTAATAAAATGTGCAAAGAGCAGGAGTTAGAAAACCAAAAGGGAAGAACATGCTTGGCATTTCTCAAGCTGAAAGAACTGAAAAAAAAATTCCAGTCTCAAGTTGAAATATTGAAAGATTTTATAGGCAAAATATTGAATGAGGCAGGAAACATCAAAAGAAGATGAAAGGTGTGATCCTCAGCCTATACAACTATGAGACCAGAAGAACTAGATGGCTCCCAGCCACCACTGTCAACCACTCAGAGGAAGAAGGGGGATCTATGTAGGAGATACTGGATAGAGTGGGAGAACAATGTGGAACAAACCTCAAAATCATTTGGAAAAAAAAGAGGGGGGGGACCAGCTTTGCTGCTCTGATAGAACCTGGTGGAACCACTGAGACTATGGCCCCTAGCTGCCCTTCAGGTCTGGAATTGAACCCATACCTGTAGCTTCCAGCCAAACAAAAGACAGGCATATGAGTTGAACATGTACCTGAAGTAGACAGACTCCTTGGAGAGAACAATCATGGGAGAAAGAGAGGCTGTTTATGCACAGGGAGAAAGTTCAGGGGGCAGGAGTGCATGGAGGGATGGACACAGGGAAGAGGTAACTATCAGGAGGAAGTGGGAGGGGAGCTGTTGCATTGGGGTAAATTGTAGTCAATGTCATGAGATAACGTGTGTGTGAACTGCTGTATGGAAAGTGAATTTGCTCTGTAAACATTCACCCAAATTACAATTTAAAAAAAAGAAGATGGAAGGCATACACAGAGTCACTACACCAAAAGGAATTGGTCGATGTTCATCCATTTCAGGAGGTGGCGTATGATTAAGAACCAGTGGTACTGAAGGAAGAAGTCGAAGCTGCACTGAAGGAATTGGTGAAAAACAAGGCCCCAGGAATTGACTGATACCCACTGAGATGTTTCAACAAACAGATGTCATGCTGGAGGCACTCACTTGTCTATGCCAAGAAATTTGGAAGACAGCTACCTGGCCAACTGACTGGAAAAGATCCATATTTGCACCCATTCCAAAGAAAGGTGATTCCAAAGAATGTGGGAACTATTGAACAATATCATTAACATCATGCGCAAGTAAAATCTTCCTGTAGATAACTGAAAAATGGTTGCAGTATTATATTGACAGAGAACTTTCCGAAATGCAAGCTGGATTCAGAAAGAGGACATGGAACGAGGGATATCATTGCTGATGTGAGATGGATCTTGGCTGAAAGCAAAGAATACCAGAAAGATGTTTACTTGTGTTTTATTGACTATGCAAAAGCATTTGATTGTGTGGATCATTAACAAATTATGGATAACATTTAGAAGAACGGGAATTCCAGAACACTTGATTGTGGCTCATCAGAAACCTATGCCCATAGCCCAGGAGGCTGTCGTTCAAACAGAACAAGAGGACACTGCATGATTTAAAATCAAGAAGGGGGTGCATCAAGATTGTATCCCTTTTACCATACTTATTGAATCTGTATGCTGAACAAATAATACAAGAAGCTGGACTATATGAAGAAAAGCATGGCACCAGGATTGGAAGAAAACTCATTAACAACCTGAAATACACAGACGACACAACTTTGCTTGCTGAAAGTGAGGATGACTTGAAGCACTTACTGATGAAGATTAAAGACTTCAGTCTGCAGTATGGATTACATCTCAATATAAAGAAAATGAAAATCTTCACAACTGGACCAATAAGCAGTATCACAATAAATGGAGAAAAGATTGAAGTTGTTAAAGAGTTCATATTACTTGGTTCCAAAATCAACATCAATGGAAGGAGCAGTCAAGATATCACACGACGTATTGCACTGGGCAAATGGGCTGCAAAAGACCTCTCTAAAGTGCTAAAGAGCAAAGTTGTCTCTGTGAAGACTAAGGTGCGCCATGGTATTTTCAATCACCTCATATGCATGTGAGAACTGTTGTTGTTGTCGTTGGACCCGACTCCAAGGCAGTATTCACTATGGAAGTAGATTGCCCCATCTTCCTTCCAAGGAGTGGCTGGTGGGTTTGATCCGTGAGCCTTCTGGTTAGCAGTCAAGTGCCTTAGGCACTATACTACCAGAGCTCCTATGTGAGAGCTAGACAATGAATAAGGAAGACCAAAGAAGAGTTGATGCTTTTGAGTCGTGGTGTTGGGGAAGAATGCTGAAAGTACCATGGACTGCCAAAAGAACTAACAAATCTGTCCTGGAAGAAGTGCAGTTGGAATGCTCCTTGAAAGCTAGAATGGCCAGACTTTGTCTCACTTACTTTGGTCATACTGTCAGAAGGCTATTCCCCAGAGAAGGCTATCATCCTTGCTAATGTGGAGGGTCAGGGAAAAAGGGGAAGGCCCTCAACAAGATGGACTGACACAGTGGCTGCAACAGTGGGCTCAAGTATAGCAAGGATTTTAAGGCTGGCACAGGACCGGGCAGTGTTTTGTACTATTGCACACAGGTTCACTATTACTCTGAGTCAACTCCATGGCACCTAACAACAATAACAGGGAGCCAAGCAACTTGTGTAGGGTCCCCAGAGAATCACAGCTCTCGAGTTCCTGACCTCTGACTCTCATGGTTTCCCAGTGTCCCCACACCATGCACCACCTACTCCCTTGCAGTAAAGAGATTTGACATAAGAAAGATCTGTTGAAAGGAACAGAATAAGCTGGAAGTAGGCACATCTGTGCCTACAATTCTCAAACTTTAAAAGGACCTTCAGGTCACCTGGCTCCCTACCCCCATAACACGCCCACACACATTAAGGGGAGGGCCAGCCTTTAGGCCAACCACACTCAGAAGTCTGTCCCACACTGGACTCCATCTGGCAGCTGAGGAATAAAATCTCCACCCAGGGAGCAGCACATCCCTGAGGAAAGCAGATCATCTTAGTGTTAGAGAGACTTGAGTCCAAAGGCCAGTTCTGCCCTATCCCCACCACGTGCCCTGGGATAAGATGCTACACAGAGCTAAGGCTCAGCTTCCTCGTCTGCAAAGTACGAACTGCAGCCATAGCTTGCAGGACTGATGTGACGAACAAGGAGTCAACGTATGGTGAGTGACGTTATCATTTTTCTTTGTCTTGTTGCTATAATTCATAAGTGGCCCCTGTTGATTTGGCTTGAGCTGCATCAGCAGATGTTGCAGGGCCATTGTGGCTGGCACTGGACTTACTTTTCATGCATCATCACACTAAAGCATCCCAACAACTTACAATGTAGGAACTACTATTATTTTCATTTACAAATAAGAAAAATGAGGCTCAGGGAGGTTAAAGAGTGGCTAAGTAGCTTGCCCAAGGTCATGATACTGACACTTGGCACCTGTCCCTCTGTACCCCTCAAGGGTTTCCAGGGAATTAGATACTCACTTGGCACAACGGACCCAGTTGATGTGCTGGCTCAAGGAGAACAGGAATTTCTGGCGATGGGTTGACCACACTTTGACTGTTTTGTCATCAGAAGCCGTCACGAGGGACTGGCTGTCGCTGCAGAAGTGGACGCTCCGCACCGTGGCCGTGTGTGCGCGGAACACAGTTGACTCGCCTTTGCTGCAAGGACAGGCAGCCAGAGAGTCAGGAGACCTAAGGCAGCAACAGGCAGGCCCACAGCACATAGAAGTTCTCCCTGCCCCTGCCCTGAAGGAGCCCCACCCAAAGTCAATTCAGGCCTGAGTGCCTCAGTCCCCAAAGAGAGGCCAGAGTCTCCCCAACAGCAGCAGCTCACTGTCCTCACCACGTGCACTCGGCAGCTGGCACTGGAACCCCTTCAAGGTAGGCCAAGGTCAGTTCAGTGCCTCCCTCCTGACCCAAGGGGAAGGTTCCAACTGAAGCCTAGGCTTCTTGTGGCACTTCGTCAGAAGCAGGGTGGAGGTCCCAATGATCAGTTAAGAGAGCTAGGATGGGGACTAGAGTGAGGGCAGCACAGGCACTAGCACCGGGTAAGCCCCTCAAAGTCTAGAACTCACACATTCGGTATCCAGATGCGGACAGTCTTGTCACGGGAGCCCGAGGCAAGCAGGTGGCCGGAGGGGGAGAAGTGCACACAGGTGACAGCATCCTTGTGGCCCGTAAAGCGGTAGGCACGTGACTGGGGCTTCATGTTCCAAACCATGAGGCATGAGTCCATGGAGCCACTGGCTGAGGAGAGTGGGTAACACTGTGGCCCAGGCTTTATACGGTACGGTACTGCCATCAAGTTGGACCCGACTCATAGAGATCCCTCCTTGGGTTTCCAAGGCAGTATCACTATAGAAGTAGATTGCCCAACCTTCCTTCCGAGGAGTGGCTGGTGGATTTGAATTGCCAGCCTTCTGGTTAGCAGTCAAGTGCCTTAGGCATTACACTACCAGAGCGCCTCAAGCCTCCACCTGGACAGTGGGGGGAGGGTGGGTGCAGATCACAGCCCCTGACAGATCCAGCTCCACCTGTCCCAGCATCTTCTGGGCAAACTGACCCCTGTGAGGTTCTAAGTCTCCCACAAGCACACCCTGTGGGCACTAGACAAGTCCTCCCAACACTGGACACCAGCCCACCCCAATGGGTCTTTTTCATGAAGAAGGCCTGCCTCAATCGAGAGGTCCCCAAAACAGGCCAAAAATAACTGCAACTCCCTCTTAACCTACAAGTATCATGAGGCCAACAGCCTCTAGGGCAGGGGACATTAGCTGTGGAATAAAAGCATAAGCCTCATCCATGACAGCAGGAAAGCTGCTGCCCTGACAGCTGTGTATGAGCCCCCAAGCAGCCAGGGGAGAGAGACACTCAGTTGCTGCACAAGGGTCATGGGGTGATGGGGTGCCAGGTCTGCTCAACATCCTTCTCACTGGCAGGTATCCTCAACAAAGTGTGCCTGGATTATTTGTGGACAACAGAGTCAGTAAAGACTCAAGGAAAAGGAGCAACTCCTTGGGACCTTTCCACAGTCCGGGCCCAAAAGACAACTGGGGTATGCAGGGAGAATCTCAGACCCCAGTCCCATCCTCAGAGGCTGTGTGACCTAATAAGGACCCTAACCTGAGCCTCACCCTCTGTGCGTATAAAATGAAGCTGTGAAGCCCAGCTCCATCAGCTGGCAAGCTGAAGCAAGATGCAGATCCAGAAGAACACTGTGTCTTTGCTGTGCTCTGCACCCTCCCAGCTCCACTCCCCTGGTGGAAACTCAGTTCACTCGCTCATAACCTATTGCCTGTGGCAGGATGCCTGCTCTTACCCAGCTGCTTCGTGTTGAGACTGAAGTCCACACTGGTAACTGCATCTCGGTGGCCCTTAAAATGCCTCTCCAGCGAGGGGTCCTCCTGGAGGAGAGTGTGGGTCAAAGGTGTAAAGTGTGAGTGAGGAAGAGGCTTCTCTGGGGGCCAAGACTCTTCCTGTAACAGGTACGGGGGCTTAAAAATGCTCAGGCATGATCTTATGAATAGACAATCCTAAGGAACCCATTAAAAAAACTACTAGAACTAATAAATGCGTTCAGCAAGGTTGCAGGATACAAGATCACTATATAAAAATCAACTGTATTTCCATACACTAGCAATGAACAAGCTGAAAAATAAAAATTTTAAATAAAAAAATCCATTTATAATAGCATAAAAAATACTTAGAAGTAAATTTAACAAAAAAAGTGCAAGACTGGTATAGTGAAAGCTACAAAACATCACTGAAAAACATTAAAGTCCTAGGTAAATGAGAAGACATCCTATGTTCACAGTTTAGAAGACAAAATAACATAAAGATGGCAATACTCACAAAGTGATCTACAGATTCAACACAATTCCTATAAAAATTTCAGCCACCTTTTTATGCTAAAATTAATAAACAAATCCTAAATGCAAGATACCTGGAATAGCCCAAATAATCTCCAAAAAGAACAAAGTTGGAGGACTCACACTTGCCAATTTCAAAACTTACTACAAAGCTATAGTAATCTAAACAGTGTGGTATTAGTATACAGACAGATATATAAACCAATGGAATTGGATTGAGAATCCAAAAATAAAGCATTACATCTATAGCCAATTGATTTTCAACTAGGGTGACAAGAGCATTCAATGGGCAAAGAGAGCTGGGACAATTAGATAGCCACACTGCAAAAAAAATGAAGTTGGACCCTTACTTCACACCATATACAAAAATTAACTCAAAATGGACCACAGATCTAACTGTAAGAGCCAAAACTTTAACTCTTAGAAGAAAAAAACAAAAACCAAAGCCACTACCCCAGAGTAGATTCTGACTCACAGTGACCCTACAGGACAGAGTAGACTGCTCCACAGAGTTTCCAAGGCTGGAATTTTGATGGAAGTAGACTGCCACATCATTCTCCCATGCAGCAACTGGTAGCTGGTGGATTTGAACTGCAGCCCTGCAGTTAGCAACCAAACACTTAACTACTGTGCCACCAGGGCTGCTTCTTCAGAGAACACACAGGGTAAATCTTTATCATCTTAGACTAGGCAATGATTTCTTAGGTATGACATCAAAACCACAAGCAACTCTGAACCCTGCGTGCAGCCGTGTCATTGTTCAGCAGCCTGCCATGCTCTGCTGATCCTAGGACTTTCAGTGGACTTGAATTAATGGCCTGCCATGTGGTTTGGTAATATCAGGACTGTGCCATTTTATTTGTCAACTTTGGGCTTGTCAGCCTCAACAGGCAGCAGCTGTCTGAGTGAAGAAAAGCCTCCAGCTTCAGTGGGCTGGGAGCAGGAGGCAGAGCTGAAGCCCAAGGTTGAGGGGCTTTCACCCAGCCCCTAGAGCCTGGCACTTTGAACTCATACTTAAAGCCTTCAAACTGTAAGAGAATAAACTCCTGTTTGTTAAAGAAAAAAAAAAAAAAAAAGATAACAATAATAAAAGCACAAGCAGCTTAAGAAAAAACAGATACATCAGACATCACCAAAATTAAAAACTTTTGTGCATAAAAGGGCACTATCAAGAAAGTGAGAAGACAACGTACAAAATGGGAAAAAATACTTACAAATCATGTTTGAATATGGTCTCCAAACCAAAAACCAACCTCACTGCCATCAAGATGATTCCAACTCATAGCAAACCCCATGTGTTCCCAAGGCTATAAATCTTTACGGAAGCAGACTGCCTCATCTTTCTTCCGCAGAACAGCTGGTGGGTTTGAACCACCAACCTTTCGGTTAGCAGCCAAATGCCTTAACCACTACACCACCAGAGCTTTTTATTATTATTATTATTATGAAAGTAAGTATTTATTCAAAACATTGTTCCACCTCCTACTTTAGCAAGTAGCAACTGGGATCTTAAAAGCTAGCAAGCTGCCATCTAGATGCAACGACGGGTCTCTCCTCGTCCAGAGCAAAGAAGAATGAAGAAAACCAAAATTTATGGAAACAATTAGTCCTAGCAACTGGTACAGCATCCGATCTGCAGCCTATACGACTATGAGACCAAAAGAACTAGATGGTGCCCAGCTACCACTGTCATCCACTTGGAAGGGGATCTATGTAGGAGATCCTTGATAGAGAGGGAGAACAATGTGGAACAAAA